CCACTCTTGATTCAGGCTGAGAGAGGGGCACAGGCATAGAGGCCACCTGGCTTCAACTGCATCCCCTTCTCAGAATCAGTATCCCCAGGCTTTCTTCTGCAATGCAGGATTGAGGAGAGATCATCCATTGTCTGATGAATGCAGCTGGTGAGACCCAAAAGGCCAGAGCACCTAATAGTAGCGTCTCCTTGCTGCCCAGGGTTACCCAGGAGTGTGTCTGCAGCTCTCCACACAGAATTCAGTCACCAGCGGGCTCTCTGTGGAGTAAGTGAAGCAAACTACCTTTTGCTTTTGGAACTTTTTTTTGTACTGGGGATCAAACTAGAGTCCTTGCACTTGCGGGGCAGGCGGCAAAACCACTGAGCTAAATCCCAGGCCCTGCTTTTGGAACTTTTGAAGACTATGGTCTTGAGTCCTAAGAAAACCAGAGGATAGGATGGGCTTTTGTTTATTCATTCAGCAGATATTCACTGGATACCTGTCTAATGGAGAGGGTACTAAGAGCCCTGTAATTTTAAAAATATTTTCTTTACATTTCCAAGAATATAATACAAATTAACCTACTGTTATGGCTTGTGTTTAATGTCCCTCCAAAACCTCATGTGGTCATATGTGGGGCTTTTTCAGAGGTAGCTGGATATAGTGTATGATGCTGGGATTGATTCACAGTGCAATGCTAGGATCAAGGGCACTAGGATTAAGGGTGTGAGTGCTGCCCGCCCTCAATAGCCTGGATAATATATAAGGAGGAAAGAGCTGTGGTTGTCTCTTGCTTGCTTTGCTGTCTTCTTCCCACCATGAACTGTTTCTCCTCTGTGATGCTACCCGGCTTTGGAGCCTACTGATTGCTAAAAGTAAAGCAGACAATGGTTTACCTAAAGCTTCACATTTTAACAATCGCCCTACTTTTACACATCAGGAAACTAAGGTCCGTTTCGTACAGTGGTTTGAGCTCCCAGGATTTCTGATTCCGGTCTCCCCGCCCCTCGTCACAGTGGCTGATAATGAACGAACACAGTTCTTAACTGGGGTACAAATTCGGGACAAAAACCTCTGAATAACAGCACCGCAGCACAGCTCACCCAGACCTGCACGTACAGGACCAGCCCTTCCCGACAGGCCGCGCGGTGCAGGGGCGCCCCGCGGAGGGACGCGACTGGGTGGAAGCGTCACGTGACGACCGCGGAGCGGA